TTCAAAAGTATACTGTTGATATGAAGCATCGATCATTTATCCTTTGTTAAACTACTTTCCAACAGAGTCGGAACAAAAGATTTCACTTTAAGCTAGAAATCTAAAAAGACTGAACATAAAGCATCTAGAAGAACTGTCATTTCCCCATCTACATTCTTCTTAATAGACAGAAAAGCAATTCAGCCACAAGACATGCCGGCTTTGAGTAATGGATATGACTCACTCTTTCTCGACTGGAGGAACATGCCCTCCGCCTGCGCTGTTCCTTTCTCCCCTCCTACACCTATAACCTGCCTGCCGACCGTGTCATATTCATCGTTTCTGGATTTAGTGAAGTCGTTCCGGCCAAAGCAGGAAATCACTGACACGAGTGGAAGTAGAAGAGGCAGCGAAACCCTGCAAACAGACTAAATGAGAGAAAGTCATCTTCAACATGTGGGATGCTGTGGGTTTTCATTTAACTGATGCACTAAAATAAGTTTTATCACCTTAGATACCATGTTTACTTCTTATATACAGCAAACATCACAACTATTGGCAGCTCTGGTGAAAATATGTACAAATAGGGTTGCCAACCGTCCCTTGAAAAACGGAATCGTTCCGTATTTAGAAATAGAAGTACCTGTCCTGTATTTAGTGGAAAAGGAACGCACTTTGTCCCGTATTACTGTAAAATAAAAATAAAAAGTCCGTAAAAAGCTAATGGAAAATGATGAACAAGGGCACGTTAGATACAAAACTCACGGTAAACTTGTTCCTGGGTCCTGTCCTGCGTTGTGACCAATGAGCTGACAACATATATATAACGATCCAGAATACCCTCATCTAGGGTTGCCACCTTTCAGAAATAGAAATAAAGGACGCGGAGGTCCTAGAAAAACTTGGGGTCCTCCCTCAGAAAATGTTGTATTTCTTAGATGCAATTTCCTGCATTTTAACCAAATTGTGTCCCGTTTCAGCTCAACACAGAACCATACTTTTATTTTGATCTTTGAGCGTGTGTATTTCTTGTATTTCAGATCATGCTCAATCCGACTCCAATGTCACCCATTCAGATAATATATTCTTAACTATCTGTATTTATAACTTTTTCTTTGTCGCCTAGGTTCTTCAGATTTGGCCTATGAAACAATGGAGCTAGTAGCTATCATCATCAGGCACCATGAGGGCATTATTTGCTTCTTACTAGCTTGCTTTACCCAGCTTTACCCAGCAGAAACACTTGAAATTATCAAAGCTCATAAAAACCTGAGCAGTTCAACTGGACATTCAAATTTTGCCAGCCTCTGCTAATCTTAGGGTTGCCGCCTTTCACAAATGGAAATAAGGGTCCTAGAGAAACTTCATTGTCGTGGGGGATCTGGGCTAGAATCCTGCACGGGTCGAGTTTTACCAACCCGCACCCGCCCGAACCTGTTAGGATGACTACCGAACCCGACCCGTCACCCGCGGATATCTTCAATTCAAATCCGAACCCGACCTAACCCGTTGATATTTAACCCGCAACCCGACCCGTTAACACATCAAGTAATAGGCTATAGTACGCTGCGCTGCAGAACAGCGCCATTAACACTGCAGCAGACGTGTATGCACTGACTGTGGCCTTTTTGGAGGGAAGCCCACACTGCCAGCAGGGCTTTAAGCTACAACAAGGGTGACCCCAGTGCCTGATTAATATAACAACACACACGCATAAAAAAAAAATCACCAACTACCAGCCCGCACTAAAAAAATATCCGCCCAACCCCCGACCCGTTTATTTTTATTTATGTATTTTTCCCACGGGTCCCCGACCCGTTGCAGGACTCTAATCTGGGGGTTCTGGGCGCTTCCTCCCGAAAATGTTGTATTTCTTAGATGCCATTTCCTGCATCTTAACCAAATTGTGTTCAGCTCAACATAGAACCATTCTTTTATTTTGTTCCTTGAGCTTGGCTTGTATTTCTTGCAATAAGCTACAGCCAATTAAAATAATTAATAAATGGAAATGTTGAGTTTGCACAGTATCATCGTGCACAGAAATCCCCTCACAAAACCAATGGCGTGCTTTGCCTGGTAGAATTTTTTTAGGCTATTGGCAAGATTACCGGTATTAGATTAATTTTTTGTTTTTGTTTTTTTTGCTTATTTTTGGTTTATTTCGGTTGTTAGTTACCCAGTTTATTAAAGGACTTTTCTTGCCAACCTGTTGTGCCCCCCAAGGTCTCTGGCCCCCACTTGGAAAACCACTGTCCAAGATCATGATGGACGTATGGATATTCAGACCACCACAGCAGCTCCAGTATTACAAGCTGGGCACCTCTAATGAATAATGTTTCAATAGATGCTTCGAGTTGGCTTGTGCAGGTGCATAGTTTATAGAACTAGACACGTGAAGAAAGTCGCCAGGAAACATGAGGACCGTCACCAGGAAACCATGACAAACGCCCCAAGATGAGAGATTACCGAGTGGAGAATGCTCTAGACAGACAATATCATAAGGAGAAGGTAAATCAAGAACAATAAAACTCTAAACTCTAGCTACGAGAGAAAGGGAGAGAGAATCAGGACGTGCAAACATGGGTCACACTCGCAACAGTGGAGTTGTTCTGTGTGCAAGTGCTATCGAAAATACTGTTTTTTTTAGTTATTCGTGAAAATACGGAACAAATAGTGTCCCTTGTCAGTTCAATACGGGACATGTAATTTAACTTCCAAATATCGGACGATTGCGTATTTCAAGGGACGGGATTGCAACCCTACCCTCATCCCATTGGTCGAGCCAAATGCTGCTCACGGAGAAGATAGCAGGAGACAACAGAGCAGTATGGGGGACAAACGGAGTCATTTAAATGCTGACTCTGCTCAAAATGAGTACCTTTTCCACTAAATATGGGACAGGTACTTTTATTTTTAAAAATGGAACAATTTCGTTTTCAAGAGACGGTTGGCAACCCTAGTCATGAATAAATATATACATATTGAGAGAAATCAAAAACTTTGTTTTTAGCCCTTTGTACGTGTATTTAGTTCAAGTTAAATAAAACTTGATCCCTCAAAATCCAGTTTACAGTGACAGTCATTAGTTTGAATGAACAGCTACATGTTACACTTTTTTCAGTGTACCTGTGTGATATACAGTTGATGCTGCCATACACACTAATGAAGTCACCAGAAATATTCCACTCCACTGCACTGATTGGAGTCAAGGGTACTTTGTGAACATATTTATCTTTTTGTGCCAAGAAAGAACCATTTGGAGCTCAATCTTTGGTCTCATCTAACTAAGGTACACATATTACTAAACGATTACAGTGTAAAGAAAACCTCCAATTTTTAATAAAGCCTAAAAACTGCTGCCTCTCCCCCACCCGTTTCTGTCTCACCAGCAGGGAGAAGGCGACTCCGTATTTGCCTTAATAATAGCAAAGGTCTGATTGATTGGCCACCATTCATAATCCTCCCATTTTCATTAAAAAGTATGTGATCATTTATCCCTCTCTTGAGTAGCCAAATAAAAAAAAAACAATCACCTTTATCTTGATGTCTTATAATGGGGATGAAACACATCAAAATGCATCAACGAGCTCATCTGAATCATTTTTACTGATTAACTGTTTTGCCCCTATACAGAGCCACCCATGAAGCTAGTTTACAGTAAACTTTTCTGACATAGGAAGAATTTATAGATCAGTGATTCTTTATTCATTTTCTATCTCTGCTTCTGCCTCCTTGAACCCCAGTCAGCCTCGGCAGATGGCCGCTCACACTAAGCCTGGTTCTGCAGGAGGATTCTGCCTGTTAAATGGGAGTTTTTCCTCCCCTCTGTTGCTACATGCATGCTCATTGTGAGGGATTGCTGCAGAGTCAGTGACATAAGCAAATTAATTACAGTTACCTCGTGCTCATCCAGGAGGTGCAAATCCTGCAAAGTCAATGACTGGATGTAGTCAGCTGGTTTTCCTAATGGATCATTTGATTGAATTGTCTTTGTGAAATGCAGAGGGAGTATCTGTTTTGATTTAGTGATATAAAAACAAACAGAACCTAATTAATAACTGAATTAAATATTTCACAGACGTTGAGCCATTTGAGCTCCACCCGATTGTAGACTCCCGCTGTGAGTATCTTCTTAAAGCTGATGTTTCTATAAAAAAAAAGGGGTTTTCACTCAAAGTTTTAATCTCTGCATTAAACTTAAAACAAAGGAGGAGGGTCTTGGTTTTGATTTACTAACTTCTTATTTTCCATTTAAACAGAGACTGCATTTGACTTTGAATGTTTCCTTATTTGACATTATTTTATGAAGGCAGTAATTGTTATTTAACTTTTAGAAACTCTTTTTAATCTATTACATATTCTTTGATCAGGTTTTTCTTTCATTTTGACAGAATACTCATGGGTGATCGATATTGGCAATAAAACATCTGGAAAAAAAAAAAACTTAATACAAAGCAAACAAATACTTGAAGAGTATTGCATTCACCAAAGAAAAAAAAATCTGACAGCTTATCTCATAATTACGAGATCTGTATCTTACGAGATCTTTTCTAATAATTATGAGATACAATCTTATAATTATGAGATCGTATTCCATGATTATGAAATACTGATCTCGTTAGTATGAGATAAGCTGTCTGATTTTTTTTTCTTTGGTGAAGGCAATACAATTCTGTTCAAATTACTTTTAGCTTTAACATTAAATGTTTAGCTTACCTCTATATAGCAATGTTATTTCATAATTCTGTTTAAAAACATCTAGCTAACATTAAGCATTCTTTTTTTTTCATAGTGTATAAATATCTTGTACAAAACCTTTCATGAAACCTGAGAATCTGATGATAAATACTGCCTAACTCAGACTAGGGGTGTTTAAAAAACTTTAACTTTTTTTAAGTAAACTGCTGCTATAATAAATGAATTGACCTGTAGTTGACAAAAAATGTGTGGAAGATGCTGTATGATCTTATAACTTTCTTTTCTTTATTTAAACATGGAGGATTTCTGTATTTTTCTGTCAGGAGTCGTGGAGGAGTTCCTCCCCTGCATGCAGCAGTGCCACGAGGAGCTGCGCCCAGAGGAGCCCCGCCCAGCCGGGCCCCGTCCTCCAGAGGGAGAGGAGTCCAGAGAGCCAGAGGGGCCCCACCGGCTGCCAGCTACAGGGCGGCTCCGCCCATAGTGCAGGACACATACGAGGAATATGTACGTATTCTGGCTAACATTAAGCTGTTCAAATGTGCTTCAAAGTCAGGCTTAGTGATTGCTCCAAACATCTTCCAGAAATCGTTTTTGATATCTGCAGAGACAGTGTTTAAGGAGGATCCTTCTTTTAAGAGACAGCCACCCCACTTACATCTAACCTGAACTCTGCAAAGCTTTTCCTTTAAAGTTGTAGGGAAGCGGCGATTCCAACCGTTGCATTTCTGCATTCTCCTGAGTGGTGCACGACTTTACACGACTGAATAAAGTGAATGTGATTGGTCGTTTATCAAGGGGGCGGGATTGTTGTGGCGGAAGGTTCGCAAGTAAGTTTGATTGTGGCCGGTTTCTTCGAAGCATCGTTGCTAACCAGTTAGCAACTTAGTGCTAGTAGGTTCCCAATGGGAAATTAAAGTTAAGTTTTGTTTCGGAGGTCGTGGATGAGTCTCCTCTGTCATACATTTGTTATTTAGAGGAGGAAAGCGGGGACGAAGATGTTGTGGAAGAGGACGCCAGGGCGGCAGAAGCTTGGTTTGGTGTAGAAGGCTTCCAGCCGTACATGTTTGAGCCCTTGCCTCGCAACGCTGCCAGTTCTGTTAGCTCTACGCCTGCTGAAGACACAGACGTCCATCCCCGTGAACACTGGGACGGAACTCAATGGGAAAGGAAATTATGATTCTTATTTTAAGCTTTGCGTATATTAGCTGCGACATATGAATCAAGATACTATGACCAAAATAATTTCATTGACAGATGACCGTTGATATATGATTGGCTGAATTTAGGTGTACAGGCTGACGTATAACTAACTGGCCTGTATAAAACGAAAAAAAAAAAAAAAATCCAGATTTTAAGACAGTTTAAAGACGGTTTTTTCTTTAAAAATAGAAATTTTCTAATTTGGGAAAATATTGTCTGATAAAAATTACATTTATATATATATGTTTAAGCCTGAATTATTTGACATTTAAATATGATTTCCCTACGCCTTTAGTCCTCTTTCCCTGGACGGTCAAAGGAATCTGACTGTGACAGGATCCAGATACTCGTACCACGATCTGTAGAGATTGTTAATATATTGTATTAAATTAATAAGCGGTTGATATCTAAGCTGGGAAGGGTTTTTAATTTAGGGAAGGATTAGATTTGTTTGCTTGAGATCGAAACAAACAGGGAGTCCATAAAGTACCTGAGACTGAGAATGAAGTTCTCACCTGGAGCTACTGTTCCCCTCTGCACACTTTAGTTATTGTTTTATTTTATTTTATTCTTCCAGGTTTTCAGGTGTTGGTGTAGTCTTGTTTTTGTCATTTTGTTTTTTATTTCTACGCACTTTAGTGTCATATGTTGAGTTGTTGTTTCCTTTTGATTGGAAGTTTAACCAGCCGTTATATTCGATAGTCCTCCTTCTGTTCCCCTCAGCGCCCTTCCTGCTCCACTGCTGCCTTTTAATTAGATAAACTTTATTTGCCAGCATTTAAGCCTCTCCTCAGTCCCTCCTTTACTGATTCTCCCATCAAGCTGAGTGTTTGATGCATCCTTTATCTATTTCTGCTTTGACAACCAATCCTGTGTTTTACTTTTTTGCTCCTTTTTCATCAGACCCTCTTTGTTCTGCTTGCTTTTGCTCCTCTAACAAACTTTCTCCCATCGTGATAATTTTTAGCTTCTTTGTAAATAACCACCTGATAATAAAGCCATCACAAATTCAAGTTTATCTAAAAAAAAAAAAAACTTAGATAAAGGGCTGTTATAGGATGATAGGTGTCCCCTTTGGTTTTCAGTCCTGCAATGAGTAGCCGTTAGCTTTAGCCTCTTGCAGCAGTTCCTTTGTTTTCATACTAATTGAATTTGGCTAAAAAGTCTTCATCTAAGATTTTAACTGTACGTTATCTCATTTCCTGTAGTATCTCCTTAAGGAAAACAAAACAAAACAGAGTCCAGGAAATGGTAATCAGGGGTTGACGTTAAGGATTTTTACCACTTGCCCACATTTCATTTGCCCAGAAACAATTTTTACTTGCCCAGTATAACGTTTGATAAATATAGTTCCTAATATTCATGTTTGTTTTTTAAATGTTTTTTGTAATTCAGTAAGTTTACAGGTTCCTGGTGTGTATATGCATGTGTCAGATAATGAACTCAAGCCTACATTACCGTGTTAACATGCTTTTCAATCCTTCCTGCACATTCTTTTCAAACTAAACTTTGCTTTAAACTGTTGTGTGCTTGGAAAAATATAAATTGTAATGTTAAAAATAAAAAAAAAACTTGACAGGTTAAAAACTTACACTACTACTTCTCACCAATTTAACATGTTTAGCTTTATAACATTTAAATGCACCACTCCAATGTCGAAGAGAAAAAAATTTAATGAACATTTTTTAAGGTATTACCACTGTACAGAAGACTGCTATATGATAGAAATATTTACACTGTGCTCATACAATTATTATTATTATTTTCCTAATCCCTGACAGATCATTTTTAATCTAGCGTGTATTATAGTATAGATTAAATTCATCATCCAGCTGCTGCTCTGCAGAATTCTCTCCCCAAGAGCTGAATCGCGCCATCTAGCGGAAAATCACGCGGCTTTTTCAAATCATGCGAGAATGTGTACAAAACAACAAAAATGGCGCCGGCAACGCTTGTAGGTTGTTTTTAGCAAATGTCTGTGATTTTACAGTAATTTTGAGTGATAAATTACTAATGCAATGAAATTTTTACTCTCCCGACAATAAAAACTACTTGCCCCGGGCGATTGGTCAATGGTTAACATCGAGCCTTGGTAATGGTATAAGCTGGTATTAATTATCAGTGAAATGTTTCTAAAACTATATGGTACTTACACTGAAAGACATCCAAGTGTAATTCCCTAACCACTAACCACTCCCAAATAAATGAACAGAATTTATCTCACAATGGAAAAATTCCCTTCTGCATCTTAAACCATCCCCTTCCAATCACCACCTTTTCTACACACAACTCATATAAGAGGCTCTGCTGCTGTGTGATGTTGATTAAAGGTTCACTTTGGCTTATTAATTATGAGCCAAGCAGTTTTAAACATCCTTTCCTCATAGATAAATGAGTCTGTGGTTGTACTGCCATCTTTATAATGCGGTCTTGCGACTCTCCTGTTTAACCCGTCGGTTTGACGAACAGCCGCTACAGTCTAGAGTCGAAGCCCTTTGTGCGTTTGCCAGGAAAAGCTCCCGCCGCACCATCAGGACGCGCTCCCTGGAGGAGTCAGCGTCAGTCCAGCGTATCTAGGCAGATCGAAGAGGAGGAAGGCAAGGGGTGCATTGGTAAAGGACCCCAGCAGCACATCCCTAACCACATGTGACAGGGTTATTCAGAGGCTGTCATTCAGATGTGTGGAGGTCACAGGGAATGACTCTGGGAGCAGCTGTTTGCCATCATTGTCGCAGCTGTAAACTGCACCTGTGTGTCTGGGGGGGTGGACCCCCAAAACATCTGCCACATGATAAATCTCACCACATCACTGCAAATTAGTTGCAGAATGAGCTGTTTTGTGGCTTTTGAATACCAGGAGCAGACCTCTCCATCCATCACCTGCAGACAGAGATGATCCACTGCTTCATCTCCTTCCTTGGTGTTAAAGCTTCATATCTGCTCTCACAGCGCTTTGCAGCATTCTTTGTTTCGCTGCTCAGCTTCATGAAACACAAACTGGTCTTCTCAATCATCATTCTGAAATCTTGGTTGAGTGGCAGAGGTTAGGGTCAGAATTAGATGAAGGGAAATGATTTAATCCAGTTTTACTTTATTTTATTTTTTATGATTTGACAACAGGAAGCACTGTAGTGTGTAATCCTTAGGCGGAGGAAAATGCTAACAGTGTTTAAACCTTTGTCTTTTAAAACAAACTGAATTCTTTAAAGCTTGGAAAACATTTCAATTCAACTCCCCCTCAGTCTGCCATGTTTTCTGAGTAATAGTTCAGGCTCAGACGGATCCTGTGGAGGACTTAAAGGACACTTTTTAAAAACAGCATTTGTTCCATATATGCTCTCCTCTGGGATAAATGCTCCATCTCCATCATAACTTTGACAACCTTCCCAACCAAACCAGCCCACTCTGCATGACACTGCCATCCGTACACTAATGTTTTTTTTTTTTTTTTTTTTTTTTCATTTTGCATGTTGATCATAAGTTGATTTTTGGTCTCATCTGATATTTTTCTATGCATTTCATCTAGAATCACATTTATTTTTTGTAATAAAATTTTTTTATTTAAACAATCTAAGAAACACATTAAAAAGCTTACATGGTGTAATAGGCAGAAAATAAAAGCTTACAACACATGGTCAGACAATTAACCCTGTAATGCCAAATGTATCATATTTGATACATACTGTTTCTGAAATTTTGCGTCTGACACCTTTTGCATAATTTAATAGTAAAAACTTTGCTCAAAATCCTATTGTAGACAATCAGATATACCTGATAACAGAGGGCAGAAGACTACACAAAAAATTATCTTGACTTATCGCATAGTAATAAATTATTAATATCAAAAATGTATTTCTGTTTTTTCTTTTTACATATTTTGTTAAAATGCCAAATAAGGACTTCAAACCAAAAAAAAGTAATTTTCTGTTTTGTTTTATTCTTGGATCGGGCTTTAAAGGGTTAAAGTAAAAATAGAAGGTGCTTCTGAATGATGAAGAGGTGAAACAAAAGAGAAAAACATAAATTGTAACCTCATATGAAATATATGCGTTTGATTCGCACACGTATCTTAACATACAAATATTATAGTAACATAACGGTAACTGTAATGCTCACATTCCTGTCAGTCTTATAATAATGCCACTGCTAAGAAGTCAGGTACACTTGAAAAAAATCCCAATTGTTTACCATCACCTGCCCTTTGCCTTTTAATCCTTGATGAACTGAAGTTTTCATCCTCCAAATGTTCGTGTGTGAGGAAGTTTTTTGTATGTAGGGGTGGGTTGGTTCCCCTGGGACGGTGT